CAGCCAGCATACAGAGAGTGCATCAGTTAATGATCACATAACCACCCAACAGGCTCCACTCTACCATGGGATTCTCAAGGTCACTGGCAAAACCATGTTTTAAGGGCGTTCCAGAAGGCCAACAAAGTTGGGGCCAGCCTCACCTCCTACAATCTGCCAGATGAAACTCCCTAGCTGACGGGACCTGCAACATGCCTCTCCTGCCGGACCTGATGGGATGGGTAGATGTCACTGGGAAGAGGCTGTGCCTCAAATAATCTGGTCTCATGCCATATAGGTCTTTAAAGGTCAAAACCAGCACCTTGAATTGGACCCAGAAGCAAACTGGTAACCAATGCAACTCACGAAGCAGAGGTGTAATGTGTGCAGTTCTTGAAGCACACATACCTTTTGCCCCAGCTGAAGCTTCTGGATACTCTCCAAGGGCAGCCCCATGTACAGCATGTTACAGTAGTCAGTAGGACATGAGTGACTGTGAGTAGAGCCTCCCAGTCTAGGAATGGATGGAACTGGTGCACAACATGAAGCTGTGTAAAGGCCATCTAGCCAAGACTGGCACCAGATAACAGGGCAAGACTGCACCCCAGGCATCTCCACAGGACCTGTACAAACGCTGGCATCCAACTGAGAGTGAATCCAAGTGATTTTATCTGACAGATGCTGTGCAAATTCCTCAGCATGACCCTGAAGATAAACCTCAGGGGCTCCCCATATCCAAGAGGGTCTGGGTCCCACTAAATAGGGCTGCCGGTTGGCTATCTGCGGATGCAATAAGGGCAGAAAAGTACTGATGCTTTGCTGCCCTTACTGCCATGAGGTAGGCCTTAATAGCGGCTCTCATCCGTGTTTGGTTGAATTCGCTCCTCGTTGATCTCCAGTGGCACTCCAAATGTCTCTTAGTTAGTGTTACTCAGCATGGCAACAGATTAATTCACCTCCACCAGTTACTTGGGATGGGAACAGATTAAATTAGTGCCGATGCGGGCATTACGAACAACATCATTCAATAAATCGTGTAGAGTTTCTGCAGAATCGGTATAATGAGCACTGGTCTAGAACTGCAAAATATGGGAAAATTAAACTGCAGGATACCATTCTGTAGTCAGAGAGGCTAAATCAGAGGTAGGCAAATTTTGTTAGCTTTTATTCTGCCTGGGCTCTGAAGAAGAAGTGGACATTTGGGAATGGCCAAACTGAACATCAGCGACTTACACTGGTAGATCTGTAAGAAAGTCTCTGAAAGCTTGTTGGTCATGAGAGGCTCTGACAGGTTGCGGAAATATTGCTTCAGCATATCAGCCACATCATAAGCAGACTGCCCTTCATAATTCATTTTGCCTACTGCATTCTCATTCGTTTGTCGTAATGCCTGGATTCTTGACTTGACTCCAGATTTTCGGAAAAGGCCAACCTGTGTGACAAAAGAAAAGTGTACATGTTACACCAAACAGGAACCCGTCATTGATAACTCTTTTATCCATGGCACTGGATTAAATTTAACATCTGGTTTTGTGAAAAAATAACAGGTGGTACAGCCCTTTCTATATTTTGCTACATCAATTCTGATGTGAAAAATCATGTCTGACTGTATTAAAAGGTCTAGAATCACAACCATTATCTCTTTTTGCCTAATAGAGATACAGGTATATGGGAGAGGTGAAGAGGTTGGCTGACAATAAAACTGTTTATGGGATTACAATCTAATTATAAATATATTCATTTGACTATCTATACAATTCTCATACACAAACTTAAGCAATGCAACCCCAGCACTAGCAGACAACAGAAAATGAACATCTGGAACTGTGGAAGTCCTAGACCAGAGCGAAGACACTAACCTGATCCAAACAGTTGTTACGAAGGTATCTCATAGCTTGTTGAATGCTCTGAGGAAGAGGTTGCCCGGTACGTTGGACATTAACTATTAGGGGAACTCCAAACACATTTCGATCTTTATAATCTGGCACTTTTATCCTTTTCATAAACTTTGGCACAGCCCTACAGAAGATCAGAAATAATTTCATAAACAAAGTTGTAAGTGTCTTTATAGTCATCTGTGTTGCTTCTCTCAAATACGCACCATATGCTTCTATTTCCAGCTCTTGGCTGTGGGTTAAAAAATATGCCTGAAAACATTTCACATGACTAAGAATAGCAGCATGGAAAACCTGATTAAGGCACTGAAATTTGCAACATTCTGCTATGTTAAGAAACAGCCATGGGAAAAAATCCTTAAAAAGTAAGTGTAATATTTGGGAGAAGAGCCATGAGCAGTGTTTAAATGCTTTAACAAGTGTGGTTGAAGTAATTACTTGATTAGTAATCTATTCTATACAATTTAATTTTTATCTGGAAAAAATATAATTTTATTGTATATTTATATTATGCCTTTCTTCCTACATGGAACTCTGGATTTTTTATATTATATTTACAATTTTGAACATAGGATTCCAGGCAAGATCACATCTAGGCACTGCCAGACCAAAGATTTTCAAAAGGAAAGAGTACTTTAGTCAGTGCTGCTGCTGTTGTTATTATTTTGTTGCAAATCTATAACTGCCTAGATTTTTCTGATGCGCTTCACAACAACTGGAGAGTCAGCACATTCTTCACTTGTTTTCAATAATATAGCAGAAGAGCCTTGAAAAGGAAGCAAATATGCTCTTCTCTGACATCATCACCAGTTGATTCACCTTTGAATTAAAGCTGCAGTCCTATTTCTCATCAGTTGACTGTCTTTCCTTTGAAAGCGATCCATTCAGTTAGGAAATAATTTCCAGCCAATATGCTAATATCAGTACAGGCCTTTTTTTTTAGATAATGAAATCAATCCTGAGTTTTGGGGTCATACCAGAACAAATAAACTGGTGACATCAAACATGCCTTAAGAGGTAATCTGAGAATAAATCAATTAATACAGTAGTAACTGATTAGTTAATCTGCCAGGTCAAAAGGTACAGGACAAAATGAGGGTGGCCATAAAAAAACCAGTAAGAATCAAGTATAAATCTAGGAACGATCCTTTATAATCTTGCCCTTTCAGGACCTTTGGGAGAAGATGGACACGTGAACAATGAGCTTTTTGTATATTAAATGGTTTGCTTTAGCAAGCCCTCAAACTTGTTCTACCACCCACCAGCTTGTGTCACAGCAGGAAACTGATGTAATACATCGGTGTTTGCCAGAAATAAACCTCATTTCGACAAATGACCTTTTCAGATACAGCCCCCACTTGACCTCCCCCCACATCTTCCTTCTCAACCACCTCTTCTACCCACTTGGGTAAAAGGCCTTTCCGTTTGCTTTCAACTATCCAATATATCAGAGCCCTGCTATTTCACTTAATCATTTAAGAATTTTTAGCTGAGAGCCACCAATTTTTTTCACAACACAGGAGACCTAGGAGTGTGAAAAGCCAAGGAAATTCTAACTGAATGGGATGACTATCTTTAGGTCTATGAATGACTAGTTCACATACAAGCACCCCACCTCATTCATATTTCCAGAGTTTGAAAGGGTGTTATTGATGTAAGCTTATGCATAGCTTTCTTTTTGTTAAAACACACAGTGGTGGGATGCAATGTAGTGGAAAAGGAAACACACACATATTACGATGGTCACTGGGAATCTCAAGCATGCAAACTGCTCAACGCTTATTTCTGTCATTTTGGACAAACAACTTCTGTAATAACAGCATTTGGACAGGAAGAGCTTTGATGGTGGACTTACAATACTCACAGTCCTAGACGAAAGTGGGGATGGGGGAGGAGGAGGAGGAGGAAGAGTCAGTCAGACGTTGAAGTAACAATTAAATTTAATACTCCATGCCAAAAGAAAAAAAAAAATTACTCTGTACTTTTGGGTGCCACAAATAGAAATTATGAAATAAGTGATTTTTAACATTTTTCATCTGGAGTGGACTATTAACCCCATGGACATAAATGTTTGTATACCGTAATGCAATCCTTAAGGCAGAAGTTAGCAAGGTGGTGTCTTTCAAACGTTCTGGATTTTATCAGCCCCAATTTCCATTGATAAAAGACTGGGGAACCGTAAAGAAAACATCCAGAGAACATCAACTTTAAGATAAACTTAATAGGATGATCATGTATTTATCAGCAAGTTGAAGTTGCAACAGGATACAGAAGGACTTTATTAACAATTGATGCCCTTCAGTTCTGAAACTCCTCCCCTTCAGATATTTTTAAAAAACAATACTTATTGGCCAGAGCCAATACATTTCCCCCCCCCTTTTTTTTTTTTAAAAAAAACTCAGTTGGATTTTGGTAGGAATCAAGACTCAGGAATTAACATTAGGTCCTATTATTTGTAGGTTCTGACTCGTCACAGGCCTGCCATAGATGCACACAGTTCCTTACCAGCTGAAACCATGTTTGTTGGAAGGTGTGTATTTCTCCAAGAGTGCAGTTAATTTCAGGAGAGAATATTTCTGCAGCAGGTTCATCTGTGCAACGGACTGACAGTCAATCTGTAAGGCGGCTGAACTTAAGCTGGGTCGATGGGAACTCTGAAAGCTATGCCACCTCATTCTGTGCCTTTGAAAAAAAGGAGAAACATTGAATGACTTTGAACCACAAAGATGGGTTTAAGCAAATGAAAAGCCAGAGCAACTGAGTGATTTGGAATTGTATCACAATACAGACTTGCCTATGGGAATTATCAAGCAGCCTTGCTTCAGAATCTGAGATTTTTGTGATATCAGATTTTAAAAAAAAATCAGCTGTATTTGTACAGAATATATGGTACTAGAGTTTATTTCAATTATCAAATGTTTACTTGAATATTTGCTCATATTTACTGTACTTAGACAATGTTTATACTATAAGAATTTTATCTGCACTTTCTCTGCAGTGCAAATTATGAATGCTGACAATCCAAATACAGAGAACATAAGTTTGATTTTTTTACTTGAACACCAACATCTATACAAAGGTTTTATGAATCTGGATCAAAATGTTCTCAAAGGCTTTCATAACAAATGGCACAGTGGAGGAGGAGATATCTAGATGCTCTAACATGGTAATGAACATGAAAACAAACTGGTGTAATTTATGTTGTGTTCAGTGTTTCTCGGATAATCTATGACACAGAATTTAATAGAATAAAAATAATTTGGCATTCAATGATATGATCAGCAATATAAGCTAGTTTAACACTTGGATGATCTAACTTTTCTTATTCTGTGGAAGGTAACTAAGAATTATTCAGTGTCACTCCTAATACCTGCTCATCCCTGGTTATAGAGTATGTTCTAGCTTAAGGAAAAGCAATTAATTTCTATATAGCTTCTACATCATAATCCTCAAGCACAAAAAACTTGTAGTTCATGAAAAAATCATTTTTATCTTTTATCAAGCCAAAAGTATTATGGTGTGGACTATTTCCCATCCAGTCGATGGCTGCTGGCTACATCAGTCTGTAACTTTTCACAGAATATGCCAATCTATCTTCTATTTGGAGAACATTAATACTGAAAACTCTTCTTGAGTTTTCTACAATCACTGCATGTTTTAAAATTACTCTTGGAAGACATCTCTCACAAAGGAGAGAAGGATGAACAAGCAGATTTGGCTGGAGTGTTTCAAATTACTCTTTTGCCTGCCTTGTCTGTTTATTTAGTAAATATGAAAGGTATTTTAAAATTACTTTTCATTTCAGAAAGTCCTGAAGTTTCCTTCAAACAAACTTGAGAGTTATGCATCCCAGGCTACATAAGTTGCTTCTTGACCTTTAAGTTTTTTACCCTCTGGGCTGAGAGGTAGGATAATAATTTTTCTATGTCTATCACCCACATTTGATTAATAATTTGAGTATTAAAATACTTATTTGTACACATATGAATAAATATTATATTAAAGATATATTTTACTCTCATACTTGCTACTCCTCTTAGACTAAAATCTGTGTCCACTGACCTGTTAGAGCGTGTTAGTGATGCCCCCACCCCAGAATCCCTTCTTTCCTGGATTCCTACAGCCTCCTCTGTTTCATTCAACGAATTTCCTGTGCTGTCAAGATCACTGGGCATGGTCCTATCATTGTCCACATCTAGCAAGATTTGCTTGGGAGATGAAGGGCATGGAGAAACTGAATCTAAAGCTGAATCAGAGTCTCCTTCATCAGAAAATTTCTCTGACCATTGGTTCACAATTTTCTGCATGCCTTTGACATGATACAGGATGTCATCAAGCTCGGGAAAAAGGTCCTCATTCTCCAGATCAGCCAGGTTTCCTGTGCTAGAATATAATATGGAACCTGGCACGTTGTCATAAATGCTGAGGCGACTGCACATTGAACTGGAGGAATTGCGTCTCTTTCCTATGCTCATATCTTTGGAGCTGTCAGAGCTGTTCTCACGCCGGAGAGAAAGATGTCCATGTCCATGGAAGCTTCCTGTTCTCCAGTTCACTGAACTACTCTTGGAGTAGTTTGGAGCAAAATTACCATTGGAGAGTGCCTTAGGAAACGTTCCAGGTTTGTGGTCTTCAGGGATGAAAAAGACAGTATCTTCTGCAAAGCTCTCTCTATTTTTAAAGTTTTGTTCCATGACATCATTAAATGTTGATTGGTTGAAAGGATCAAAGCCTTCTAGATACATCCCGACACGCTTATTGTAGGCACCAAGGCTACGTGTCCTTGTGATGGGGCTAGGAGTGCTAACTGCACTGCTTGTCTCTGACTGGCTGCTGCTGCTGCTGGTCTGTGTGGAATTGGAAACGCTTCTTTTGCGTACCATGGGGAAGTTGATGTGGTTGCCATTGAGAGTGGAAATCTCTACACAGTTAAGTTGCTTTAATTTCTCTTCACCCACACCTTCCTGCAAAATTGGACCACTGATTATCAGGCCCAGCTTTGAAGGAGCTTTACTTTTCCCATGATGAGATCCTTTTATTTTTAGGCTTTCCATCCTCTTTAACAGGCTCCTCGTTTTGGATTTGGTATTCTTCTCATTTGCTTTCATACCGCAACTGAAACTTGATAATTCTTTAGCTGAGGGCAAAGTGCTCTCATTTTCCGCAAGCTTTCCTGAAGAGGTAATGCTAATGACCGAGCCTGTCCTAGTGGTGGCTGTATCGTTTTGGGAGGTAGCTGGGTGGCTGTTGTTGCTGCTCATACTGTGAATGGAAGCTACCCCATGGTGTTCACTCTGCTCCATCAACATGCTCTCATGACTGGTTGCACTGTTCAGATGAGCCACTTCTGGGGATGTGGAATTCATATCGCGCTTTGGAGGGAAAATGTTGAATTCTTCCAGTCTGGACCACCTCTTGCTGTCCCTCTGGAACATCCACTTTCCACTGATTGCACAGGGCTCATCTTCATCTGAATCTTCACTCTGCAACAAAACAGGGCACACTGAATAAGCACACAATCACTGCTCAATGAGTTCGGTAAGGAATTGCAACCAGAATAGCTGAACCTGGGGGATTCCAGGAGTCAATCAGGCTACAAAATTAGGTACACATTTGTTCTTGTGGATCCTATACCTCCTTGCAAATCAGTTCAGCTAAGAACTAAAGGGATTCATTTAGTTTCACTCCACGAAGCATTACTGCACATTTGGTCTCATCTTCCACTTATCACATCACAAGTCCATCAAATGATTGGTGGGTTATGTATTTCAGTTTAAAAAAAAAAAGAGAGGTCATAATTGCCACTGGCTGTTAGCTCATTTGTGAACAATTTAAAGCACTGGTGATTATCTATAAAATACTAAAGATCATAGAATCTAGGTGGACCTAACCATATAAACTTGCCCTAACTCTTCTGTTCCAATCACTCCTTGAAGCCAGGACTTTCCAAATTGAGAGATCTCTGAACTGTCCTTCCCAGAAATCTTAACCTGAAGCTATCCGTGCCTATGTGCCTGCTAGGTATTGACTCAGATAAGGCAACTGGAATGTATCCTACCCATTTGTTTGATTTTTATTGGTAGCTTGTTTATTTCTGGTTTGTGACCTAGATACCTTAAGGGATGGCTGGCTAGCTGCCCTCTCTCCCTTCTTCCATATAACAACATTTCTCACCTGCCATGGATTCTGGATAGTATGCAGCACAATAAATTCCATAAAATATACAATCAATCTACTATAACCATATTCATATCTTCTTTAATAGGCTCTTGCCTGCATATTCTGTTCATTGCCTGAGCCCCCATACCAGTTTCTTTGGCTGAAATCTAGCAGATGGCAACAAAGTACTGAGATGAGGGGTGGGATCAGGAAGTGAGTTCCATCCTGTTGAATGTCCTGATCTGACCTTGATGATTTTGGGTGTTTGGTCCAATGTGATTTCTCATTAAAACATCTCTCCCCTTCTCATGAACACATTAAGA